AAAGCGCTTATAGTTTGTTCCCCAGAGAGAGAGAGAGAGAGAGTCTAATGCTTTGGGCAGACAAATACACCCCAAGTCCTGATTGTCTGTACGTAAGAGATTCCGAAGCATAACAAGCATAATTGCACTAAAATTAACTGGAATATTTTTGTTATTTCATTATATAATATTTCTAAACGATTCTTACAATTTACAATGATAACTCTAATAGCTAATATTAGTACAATTACAGATTACAGTTATGTACCAAAGTATGATTACAGTTTAGTGCAAGTGTTAGTGCAATAGGGGATAGGTGTTAGTGAATGCACCAGGAAAGGTACATTTGTAGTAAGAATCCACTTCTATATAAACTCGGTATCAAAATATAATTCATTCAAAAACATTAAATCACACTCTTTTGAGTAGATTTAGAAAAGTTAATAAAATTTATAACTTTTTAATATAATTCCCTGAAATGTCCGTATCATTCAATTTTAGCGGTAAAGTAGTGCTGATCACGGGCTCGAGTGCCGGTATTGGCGCCGCCACTGCCGTACAGTTCTCCAGAGCCGGCGCTCAGGTGGTGGTCACCGGTAGGCGCGCCGACAAAGTGTCACAAGTGGCCAAAGAGTGTCTCAAAGTATCACCGAATGGGACGAAAGCTCTGGAAGTGGTGGCGGATGTGACTAAAGTGGATGACTTGCGACGACTTGTGGACACAACTATCAAACACTTCGGGAAACTCCATGTTTTGGTAAACAACGCCGGCGCGGGCTTTCCGATAGGCATCGATAATAAGGACTATTACGAGACGTATTTGAAAACAATGCAATTAAACCTCAATTCTGTGGTCTATTTGACGCACATATGTGTCGAGCATTTGGAGAAAACAAAGGGAAATGTGATAAACATCTCGAGTGTAGCCGCTCTGCAATCCGTGAGTAGTTTTTGTAACTTATTATAAACAATAGCAGACTATTGCCCACTTATTTGTTAGTGTACTACTAATAACTGTGCTGGTTCATTAACATTAACCATAGGGTGATGGCGCTTCACCATATCATATGTCTAAGGTTGCGATGGATATGTTCACCAAATGTATGGCCGCAGAGTTGGGACCCAAACGTATCCGCGTGAATGTCATCAAGTAATTCAATTTTAGCAAGATATTTATTATTTAGTTCACATAATTCTATAATGAATACTATTTTGCTTTCCCAAAACAGTCCTGGACCAATTCGTACGGAAATTTTAAACGCCGCTGGACTGCCCCAGCACATCATTGACAAACATGACGACTACTTCTCAAGTGTATTGCCGTTGGGACGTGTGGGTGACCCTGATGACATTGCCGACTCCATACTCTACTTGGCCAGTGACCATGCTGCTTTTATAACGGGCACTAATCTGTTATCAGATGGTGGGGCCATTGCTGCCAACGCTATCAACAATAAAGCCCTTAAGGAGGTGCTGTTTCAGTAAACCTTTATCTGTTTTGTGAAAACAAAACACTTTAAACTCTACTTTAATATTGATATTATGAAACTAAGAAAGTATTAAACATTAACGCAGAATTTAAATGCATATATTATTTTATATCTACAGATATTGATATTATATAAATGTATCAAATAATTACATTTTAAATTATTTTTATTGGTTCAACTTTAGATTTGCAAATTATAGTTAATATTTTAAACAATACCAGTAACACAAATTTATTTTATGATACTATACTGTATTAAAATATTTGTTGATCATATTTTTTATTAGTCTGAATTCAGAAGTTAATATAAAATGATTTCTAAATTCTCTTTTTTAATATTTTAATTATTGCAGAATTTTATGTTTTTAATTTAAAAATTAATTTTAATAAAGAATTAGGTACAAATGTACAATTAAGATTAAGTTATACTTATTTAAAAATAGATTTAATAAAAAATTGATTAAAATTAAGCAGTAATTGACCAAGCATGTTTACATGTTTTATCATCCCTTGAATTTGTGGGCATATTATGAACGCGCAAACAATTACTGTTTAAAACATTAGTGAAAACACATTAATTTCATGAAACAAAACACAAATCAATATAAAATATACTATTACTATACTATTTCATTAAAATTTTTGTCAATTAATTGAAATAATAGTAATAATGTTAATTATGTTTTGATTATTTTAAAAGTTCTACCAGTATCTTATATTGATCTGATAAAGTTTTATTATATTTGTCCCTAAATTTCATTAAATCCTTTAACAATAATTTTTTGAGTAATATCATATTACTAATATGAATGAATTAATTATAAGTAAATTGATTTTTGAGTAAATTGATTATAAAATCTAAATTAGATTTTATTGTATGAAACTTTCTAGTGAGTTATAAGTTATATCATTTAATTTTAAGATATTTTAGTGTTTAATAAAAATTTCAGAATAATGTCATAATATTAATGCTGATATCATATACAGACAAATGATAAATATAACTCGAAATAGTGTGCTTTATCAAATTAAAAAACGACTTTCTATTGATAGGCAAAGTAACCTTCAATTGATGACATTTTATATTTACAATATTATTTGTTTGCTAACAATATTTATGTGCTAATTTTATTAATATACTTTTTAAAACTACATTCACAATATTAAAATAATTTATTATATATTTAATTTAAGTAAAATATAGTTTTTAATTAGAAACAAGCAAGCATCTGTGTTCATTTAAATTATTTATTTATTCATTGAATTTCAAATCACATTATTTTTGCAATAATTTTGTTGTCTGTATTTTATTTAAAGTGCTAAATAATTATTTGTAATGAATTATTTGAAGGCGTTATTAATATTTTTGCATGACCTGTATACTATTTGGTTTGGGTTGAGGCGCCGGGTCAACACCAATAAACGACTCGATGGACAGGTAGTTGTGATCACCGGTGGAAACACCGGCATTGGAAAGGAGACGGCGTATCAGCTATCGCTAAGGGGCGCCAAAGTTTGTAATCATAACATGCGTTGAGTTTTGAAAACTTATTTTTATTCAAATATTTATCATATATTTAGGTTTACATCGGATGTCGTGATGAGACAAAAGGCAATACAGCTGTCAATGAGATAGTGATTAGGAATCCAAAGGCAGTCATAAGACTATTAACTCTAGACTTGTGTTCACTTCAATCGGTCCGCAGATTCTGCAAAGAATTGTCAAAATTGGAGACAAAAATAGATATTCTGGTCAATAATGCGGGTATTTTTGGCGCACCCGAGGGCAGGACTGACGACGGCTTTGAGCTACACCTCGGAGTCAATCACTTGAGTACGAAGTGATTATTGAATTCAAATGAAATCATATGTAAAACATAAACCCATTCCTAAT